GCGCTCGGGTGCGCCCCGTTGGCGCATCGCGCGTCCAGGCCGGCCCGCCTGGGCGCCGGCAGAACGCCGACTCCCCACCCTCCGCCACGGGCAGCCACACGCCGCTTCTCCCAACGGGCTTGTAAAATGATAAGATGTGGTTGCGATAGCTCGCACGTGCCCAAGGACGTGAAGAGTCACCGGTCGCTCTCGAGGTGAGGGCGCGCACGTGACTCCGGAGCGAAGGACACCGCTTCCAGCGACCCTCCCGATCGGAGCTGGTAATATCCAAGCTTGAGGAGGGCCACTGTACAGGCCAGCAGCCAGCCAGCCACGGCCGCACCGGCCGCGAGGCCCCACAAGGGAATGCCCTCCGGCAGGGGAAGCCCCCACCCTTTCGGGGAACTGAGCTGGTGTGGCCCCGATGACCAGACCGCCGCCACGACTCCAATCAGGGCGGCCACGAAGAAGAGCCGTGCCATGATGGACGGCGGCTCCGATCGAGTCAGGCGCTTTGGGGGGGGGGGGGGGGGGGCATTGGCAAATGGGGTCAGCCTTCCTGGCCATGCCATGGCGGGGCAGACACACGGGAGCGCACCTGGACGCGAATGCCTGCGCGGTCGAAAAAGGCACACACCTCGTCCATATCTCGCGGGTAGCCACGGATCATGGTGTTGCCTGGCTCATTGGCAAAGTCGATGCGCACGCCGTTGTGGAAGAGCTCCGGCAGGGGGTTGGTCGGGTGGTCATGCGGGTCGGCTGACAGTTCGAAGACCGATGGTTGGTCCGAGTCCGCGGCCCCGGCGACTGGAGGCTCGGCTGAGACCTCCGCGCGCAGGGTACGTCGCACGGTGGCCAGTGAGAATTCCGCCCAAGGGAGACCGGCGGCCCGGTGGCGTAGAGCCGCCCGGATGACCGGGGCATCCTCGAAAACGATGGCACACACCAGGCTGGGGTCATTGTGGGATGGCTCTGCCGGAGAGCTGGTGCTGGCGCTGCCGCCGCCACTGTTGCTGTTGGGTGCCATGTCGACAACGGCGTCTGTCTCTTTCTCGTGTGCCGAGGGGGAGGGGAGCTGGGCCAGATGAGCAATTCGCGCAGGAGAAAGAAAGAGAGGGAGGAGTAATGGGGTGCACAAAGGAGGGGGCGAGGGAGGGAGGCGCTGATAGGGGGCGGGGGCTCATGGACACAGGGCAAGCAGTGCCATGCCAGGAGGGGAGTGGCTGAAGGGTGATCGGGCCGGCGGCGATCCAGGGCGGGGGGCTGCGACCCAAATTTGGGGTGCCTGGCCCGGCTTGCGATCCGGGGCAACAGCGTCCGCTGGGCGTTGTTGCCAGCCCGGGGCCTGGGAACCTTCCCTCCCGCCCCCTGCCCCGGGGAAGGCTGTGTCATCTCTCTCTCTCAAGGCACGAACATTGGTAGCTGGCGGCAGGGAGCACGTTTGTCACATGAGCAACTGATCGCCCCGATGTTAGCCCACAACTGACTGGGATGAGACGACTGGCGCCTCGGGACATTCTTCAGCTTGGCCGGTGTTGGGCATATCCCTCGCTCACTATGCGCCCGATCCTCCTCCTCCTCCTCCTCCTCCTGCTTCTCCTCCTTGTGTAGCCTTCCTCCGTCTTGTGCTGCCTTCGCCTGCAATTATCTCCCACTCAGCCCTTCTAAGTCCCATGCTTGTGAGGGGCCAGCTACCCTTGGCTTCCGGTGAGCTCCGCATCCGATCGCCCCGACTCCAGGCTGTTGCCGCGCGCACCATCTCGACCTGTCAAATGGCTTGGGCCCTGCTTTTCCTGATATGCCTGTTGCTTTGCCCGGCGAATGTGGCGGCCTCGGCCAAAGCTCCGAGAAGGATTCTCCTCGCCACCCTCACCGCACCCCGCCCAGCCGGGCGCGAGACCCTCACCCGGGTACTGGAGCACACGTTGGCCTCCCTGCGACGGTGTGACCAAGCCCAAGAGCCGACATCGGAGGGAGGCCTTCCGGGCTTCGTGCTTCGGCAGCCTGGAGAAGTGGCTGCCCTTTCATTGAGTCTGGCCTATTTCAATGCGCGGCCAGGTGGGCATGCGGAATTCGACCACTTGCGAGGTGCGCTGACGGGTTACCATTGACCGGCATGCCACCTTCCCCATCTAATGCGTGCTGGCCCCGGCATCCTCAGCTCGGTTCTCCCAACGAGCCCATTTTTTTGATCTCTATTCTGCCCGAGTTTCTCCACGGGCACTCGACCCATGGCCGGGCCGCTGGGGAAACATGACGGTCCAGTCGCTCCAGCTGAATGTCGACTGGGCGGCGATGCTGCGTGCCGCGGGCGGGTATGTTCATTCGGTACGGCGCCCAGCCCGGATCGAGCCAGCCCCGTGTCTAATATAAAGTGCCCCCCCCCC